ATCAGTTGTAGAGCAAATGTTTGAGTATGAAATTAAGTTTTTAATTATTAAGTTTAATAAACTGACTACTTACATAATATTTTGCTCTCTTGCAAGCCTTTTTTATTTTTTGGATCTTGAATTTTTACTTGCAACATGGTTATGATCAAGTGGTTTCCAACAACATCAAGCACATGATATAAAACGGAGTGATTTCTGTCATTTCTTTTTTCAAAGGTTTTGAGCTCAATACATTCTGAGTGGCAATCAGGAAAGAACTTTGCATTGGCCTTGAAGGGTCAGACGGAATAAGGTGGGTTAGATTAAAATGTGTAAAACACCTGGAAAAAAGGATGAGGAAGATGATTCCTCACTGCAGTGAGGACAGGAGGTCAGCAAGTCGAGCCGGCTGCCAACAGTTTAAATGACTTGGATTTAAAAGAGCATATTCGAATAAAGCACCTTCCGTCACCTCAGCTGCAAATTCCATTCCTCCTCTTTCAAAATTAATTTCCTTTTGAAAGGAATGTATTGAGAAACTGGTGTTGCAGGAAAGGGTCTCTTTCTTCTTTTTTTTCTTTAAGCTCCCTAGCAAGTGAAGCGTAGCGATGTTGCGCTATTAGCTACCTTAGGTCCTACGATGAGTTTAGCCAATTCTGCCTAACTGGACAGTGATGGATATGATTTCTGTGGATGAACTTTTTATATTTTGTGCCAACTATGTAAAACTATTTTTATTCTCTATCTTTGTCACTTTCCATGTTAAAGGTCCTATATAATGCTATCGTAAAGCAAATTATATATAATAAAATATTGCCTTTGACAGAGTCGGACCCACATGCAGACAAACCAACTCAGAGAGACCAGAGGAAAAGGTTTAACAGGTTTATTGAAGAGATAATGCAGAATGAAGTGTTGCTCTGAACACTGCTTAACCGGAACTGAAAAGTGAGGGGAAGACACAGTGGTTAGTTCAGGCTCAGTGGGAAATTTGATTCGTGAACTTGAAGAGGAGGATCTGGTTGCTGACTCACATTTTCAGAGAAGTTGTTGAATCTTAGACTCCAGTCTGTGTGCTGTTGTTCCAGTGTTTGTCTGATTCTGTGGAGGCCGGAACAGGGTTTACCCAGAATCCGGTTGTTTGTAGGTGAACGGAGAAGCTGACTGCCACTCAGATTTCCTATGGTACTTGAACGGGTCGTAGTGGAGATGAATCCCTTGCTCAGAGTGAAACTCAAACGATCTCTTGGGGAAAAGCAGATTCAAAACTCCAGTTTAAATCCTTAGCTCAGTTTGAAGCTCTGTTGATCCTTCCAGGGAGAGAAGGTCCGAAACATCCAGTTTGCAGGATGACTTCCTGCCGAGAGACTCAGGTTGACAAGAACTCAGCTTCACTCAGCAAAACTCAGCTTGGCAAGAGTACCCAAAACTGGCAAACACTCTGGCGTCGAGGTAGTGGCAGTCAGCAGCTTAAGAGCGCTCCGTTAATGAGGCGCCTCCTGGTGGAGGAAGGGAGACAAACACAGAAACACAAACACAGACAGGAATCCTGACAGGAACATAATAAAATATAACTCTTTTTTCTGATGCGTTTTTTTTCCAACCTAGAAGAAGGATGCTTTCCTCTACGGTGATTTGACTCTTCCAAATATATGCGTCCCATTGCATGATGTCTTCCTTGAGTACAATGTAGCAATTATAGTTATTTTTAATATCAGTATAGCCATGGCATAATATTTTATGTATTCAAAATTGGCTAACTCGACATTATGGATACAGTTTAGCAAGCAGTTTGATTAACATATGGCTCTGGCCATTGGGTGGTTAACTCAGAATCAAACACGTTTTAAGAATTAACCTCACAGACAACCCACCATGGTACAGGCCAAGGTTCACCATTGAGTCATCAGTGTAGCAAATTGCCTCTACCTGTATGGGGCCTGTTTTTAAGTCAATGGACTCCAAAGTGCTTTACAACACAATCATTCACCAGGTCCCACACACATTCATGGTAGTGCGCTACATTGCAGCCACCACTGCTCTGGGACACGCTGAAAGAAGTGAGGCTAGCCGACACTGTCTATAGGTAGTGTGGGTGAGGCGGCTTTACCAAGGACACAATGCCTTACGGTGGACAGTGCAAGGCTTCCAAGCGCTGATCCTCAATTTTTAGGAAGACCCTGCATCCAGATACATTTAAAAACTGCAGTACACTGGATCTTGTGGACTAAGTTTAAAGAACACTGTACTGCATCTCTCTCCGTGTCCAAAGCCGCTTTTTTACTGAAAGCCCCGGGTTTCAATTACCAAACTAACAGCAAGTCTGATGAATTCATCCCCATCCTTCACCATTACTTTGAAATCATGCAAATCAACATAGCGATGTGGTCGCCAAAAAATGTAAACGCCACATGTTGGAGGGCGATCATCAACACATTGCAAACACGCTTGTTTCCATACGAACTTTTGCCCTTCCTGCTGTAAGATATAAAGATGTAAGAACAGGCCACTTACTCCCACTCCAGTCCATGTCCGAGTGCTCTCTTGGCTAACCGCCTCCAGCACTGACGCCGCTCAGTCTTTTGTGGCTCCGGTGACCATGGATACGGGCCTTTGTCACAGGAGCTTTGTTTTCATCTCAAAGCTAAGCTTAAAATTTCTAACCACCCATTTCTAACCTTAATACTTTTTTTGTTAAATGATTTGTACACTGACTATTTCAGAAAATGCAGTGATCACGTTTTGTTATTATCTTCTCTACTGTGTGAAATGTTTAAAGAAATGTCTGGATTAAGATCTGTGCAGATAAAAACAGACATAAAGTGGCTCTTTTAGAATGATTTATTTTAGCGTTTACTTT